ACGCAGACACCACAGCCACATACCTCCACCTCCTCGGGAAAAACAGGCTGGAGCGCCAATCCAACACAAACAAGGGAAGGGCTCGTGCTGGAAAGGGGCTCAGCGCTCGGGAAAACCCAGCCCAGCTGCGCCCGGCAGGGCGGGCTCTGCTCACCACGGCGATGGGCACCTCCTTCGTCACCTCGCGGGTGCCAGCCCAGCTCCTCGGCGGGAAGGAAGGAGCGGTGCCGCAGGTTGACGCGCTCCGCGGGCAGGACGTGACCCTGGGTCTGGGCAGAGCGGGAATCTGCGGAGCTGCCTCCTCTGCCTGGGGGCCAGGGGAAGGCCAGAAGCCCCGGAGCCCTTACCCTGTAGATGTCGGTGTCCAGCACCAGCCCCCCAGCGCTGCAGCTCCCGGGCGGCTTCCGGCGTGTCGCGGATGCGGCGCAGGAGGCCGGTGAGGCGCTGGTAGTGCTGCTGGGGACTCTGCACCATCTCCCACATCACCTCCTGCACCAGCAACACCCACAGGTCAGGGAGGGCTCCCCACAGACCCTGGGCAAAGCTGGGAGCGGGGCAGGGGTCCCCCCAAACCCTGGGCAAAGCTGGGAGCAGGGCAGGGGTCCCCCCAAACCCTGGGCAAAGCTGGGAGCAGGGCACGAGAAAGGCTCTGACCTTCAGCATGCGACTGTTCTTGCGCAGGTCGGAGAGGCCGGTGAGGAAGGTGAGCTCTGGCACGAGCAGCACCATCTTCAGCTGGCACTGCAGGGAGGGACAGGCACTGTCAGCATTCCAGGGGCAGAATCCCTGCTCTCCCCAGGGGCTGGAGGAGCCCAGAGCAGCCCATGGAGGAGCTCAGAGCAGCCCATGGAGTTCTCTGGGCTGGAGGAGCCCGTGGATCGCTGTGGGCTGGAGGAGCCCATGGATCTCTCTGGGCTGGAAGAGCTCAGAGCCACCCATGGATCTCTCTGGGCTGAAGGAGCCCAGAGCAGCCCATGGAGGAGCCCAGAGCAGCCCGTGGATCCCTCTGGGCTGGAGGAGCTCAGAGCAGCCCATGGATCTCTCTGGGCTGGAAGAGCTCAGAGCCACCCATGGATCTCTCTGGGCTGAAGGAGCCCAGAGCAGCCCATGGAGGAGCCCAGAGCAGCCCGTGGATCCCTCTGGGCTGGAGGAGCTCAGAGCAGCCCATGGATCTCTCTGGGCTGGAGGAAGCTGTGGATCTCTCTGGGCTGCAGGATCCCAGAGCAGCCTGTGGATCTCTCTGGGCTGGAGGAACCCATGGATCTCTCTGGGCTGGAGGAGCCCGTGGATTTCTCTGGGCTGCAGGATCCCAGAGCAGCCTGTGGATCGCTGTGCCTGGCTCACCCTCCCCTCTGGTGTCTGCTTCTCCTTGGGCTTGTGGACGAGCAGGGGCTGGTCCAGTTCCCTGATGGTGATCCCGTGCGTCTTGCTGGAAAAACAGCATGGTCACACAAGCCTGGAATTTCACTTTGCAACGGAAACCCAAACCCTCGCCGTGGGCAGCAAAACCTCCCAGCTCCCACTGCCCCACCTCAGACCAGCCCTGCCCGTTCCCAGGGGGTGATCCAGCAGCTCTCTCACCTGTAGTACTCAACAAAGGTGATCTCCTGCCCGCTGGCCAGGGTGAAGGTGTCCTTGGGGGTCTTGTCCCAGTCGATGTCGTCCACGCGGTAGGTGCGGTTGTTGTAGCGCGTCATGACCACGCTCCCCACCAGCTGCTTGGTGCACTCGTCCTGGAACGTCCTCTGGCTCTGCGAGTGGATGGTTTGCCTGGGGAAAACAGGAGAGGCACGGAATGCTCCCCCTCTGTGGAATCCCAAAATTCAAACAGCAGCTCTGTGCCCAGAGCTTTGGGGGTTTTGTTGCTCCCTCACATCACGCTCAGCACGGACTCGCTGCGGATGATCTTGTGGATGGCGTCCACCATGAGGAAGAGCCCCCCGTCCTTCCTCCGGATGCTGACGGCGTACCCCGGCCAGATGTGGAGGCTGTGCCCAAAGGGAAAGAGGCCTGGCTTAGCCCAGAGCAGCCAAGGAACCCCCCAAACTCAGGGATTCATTTCCCAGCTCCCAACTTGTCAGAACAGCCAAAGTCAGGCTGACCTGGGAACACGTCCCAGTTTCCAGGGAAACAGGGATGACTCTGCGCCAACACCCACCTGTATTTCTGTAGGGTGGTGGCCTGGGCAGGCTCAAAGAAATGTCTCCCAACCAGGCTCATGTTTAGGATTTTCATCACCCTAAGGAAGGAAAAGCAGGAAAAGCAGGGCTGGATGAGGACTGGCAGGAAGGAAGAGGAGGAGGAAAGGGCTCTCCTCCCTGAGCTCTCTCTGGTCTCCCACCTGCGGAACACCACGTTGTAAAAGGGGGTGCAGAGATCCGAGCTGGGCTCCAGGATTTTGGTCATCTGGATGTTGATGAAGATCTCCTCCCCGTTGCCGCTCTTCTGAGCCTTCAGGCTGACCTTTGGCAGGGCCAGAGGGGGTTCTCCCACCCAAAACAGGGGCACCCCCGTACCCCCAAACCGGGGGAGACCCCCTTACCCCTTACCTTGGGGATCTGGATGGGCAGGAAGAGGATGGAGCCATCGAAGGCCATCACGTCGCCGGTCACGGCGTGCTGCTCCTTCAGTATGGCAAAGCGGGCAGCCTTGCACTCCACCTCGGGGCTGGGGGCACACAGGGGCCTTTTCTCCCTCCTCTGCCCCCCCAGACCTTGCTCAGCCCCCCAAAAATCCCCCCTGAAGGCCAAAACCCAGAGCTCTTCGTTGTGCTGGGGCCGCTCCACCTCACGGCAGCGTGAACAGCGTGAGGGACGCAGAGGGCTCTGCATGGGGACACCCCAACCTCGAGGGGCTGTGGGGGACCCCGGCCCCCCATTATCACCTGAAGGTCACGTGGTACTGGTAGACAGCTTCGTTCTGGCAGTGGATCTTCACAAAGTTCAGCCCCACGGGGATGGCGGCTCCCTTGGCCACCGCCTTGGTCCCCTGGGCCCTGCGAGGGACAGGGGCTCAGCGGCGACCCAGCAGCACCTGCACCCCAAAACGCGGGGCTGGGGACGCCACTCACGGCCTGGCAGCAGTTGGGGGGGTCTCCGGGGTGGGCACGGGCGTCGGGCAGGGCTGGGGGCTGGGTGGGCACGGGGCGGGCACGGCTCGTCCAGGCGGGGTGGGCAGCGCGTCCCCTCTGCCTTTCCACAGGATCCTGCGTCCCCAGGGGGGGCTGCGGTGAGCCCTGGCACACGCTGGGGACACACTGGGGGTGGCCTGGCTGCAAACCCCCAGCGACGACCGCGACCCCCCGAAATGCCCCCATTCCTCCTGCCCCACTGCAGCCTGGGGGCTCAAACAGCCGAGTTCGGGGATAAAGGGATGGGAGGGACGGGGGGGATGGGGAAAACAGAGGGAATAAGGGAATAGGGCGGAGTTATGGGGCAGGGGGAGACAGAGGGGAAGGAAGGGGAGAAGGAATGAGGGCAGGAAGGACAGAAAAGATACAGGGGGACAAAAAAGATGGAGAGCGACAGAACGGCCCAGAGGAGGGCGGGCACTGAGGGTTTGGGGGTCCAGGGCTGTGGCGGACTCACTGCCCACGCGTGGGGAGCGCCGCCAGCTCTGCCCCCTTGTCCTTCTCCTCCTCCTTCTGCCGCTGCACCGGGCCGGGCGGAGCCGCAGCCTTCGCATCGCCAGCGCCGCCCCGGCCTGCGGGAGCAGGGCCACCGTGAGCGGCGCAGCGGGGCCCACCGCGCCCCCCGCACCACCGGCACCTACCGAGGGGCCGCTCCAGAGGCCGGTCCTCCAGGCCCAGCCCGCGGAACAGCGCGGGGAACGGCGAGGCCGCGGCTCGGGGCTGAGCGGGGCCGGGCGAAGGCAGGCGAGGGGAGAAAGCGGCGAGGCCGCGGAGCCCCCTGGCCATGGGCACGGCGGGCCCGGGCCCGGGCCGGGGCGGGCGGAAGGGCCGCGGCGGGCGGAAGGGCCGCGGCGGGTCCATGGCCGCCCCGTCGAGGCGCGCCCGGAGCCGCGGCCACGCCGCCGCCGCCGCCCCGAGCGCACGCGCGGCCCCGCCCACGAGCGGACGCGGCGCTGATTGGGCGGCGCCGAGGACACGCCCACAACGCCGCGCGCCCGGGCGGAGGGAAGCGCGCGAGGAAAGGGCGGGGGTGGGAAAGGGGGCGTGGTTAATGGAAACTGGGCGGGGTTATGCAAACTAGGGCGCGGACATGACGGGAGGAACGGAAAGTGCGATGGGGGGATAATATGGGATTGGGGAGTAAAATGGGACGGGCAGGAGAGGGTTAAGGTGGAATTGGTGGGGTAGAATGGGATGGGCAGGAAAGGGGTACGGTGGAATCGGGGGGGGTAAAATAGCATGGGATGGGCAGGAGAGAGTTAAGATGGAATTTGGGGGTAAAATGGGATGGGATGGGCATGAAAGGGTTAAAATGGAATTTGGGGGTAAAATGGGAAGGGCAGGAAAGGGTTAAGATGGAATTCAGGGGGTAAAATGGATGGGGTGGGAACAGGGGTAGTGTGGGATGGGCAGGAGAGGGTTAAGATGGAATTTGGGGGTAAAACAGGGTGGGGTGGGAATGGGGGTAATATGGGATGGGCAGGAGAGGGTTAAGATGGAATTCAGAGGGTAAAATGGAATGGGATGGGATGGGATGGGATGGGAAGCACGGGTAATACGGGATGGGAAGGATGGGGTGTGATGGGGCAGGAGTGGGGGATAATATGGAATTGGGATAATATGGAATTGGGATAATATGGAATTGGGTGGGTAGGGTCAGATGGGGAGGGGGTTTAAGATGGGATGGGGTGGGAGAGTGCCCCCATCCCTTTCCCTGCCCAGGGGCTGGTGGCACCCAGGGACCTTTGGCTGCACGATGACAGCTCTGTCACCCTCCAGGACAGGGTGGGGTCACCCAGTGCCCCCCACCCTCTGCAGCCCCACCCCAAGGCCCTGCAGGGCCCAGCAGAGGTGACAGAACCAGACTGACACAGGGGGAACAGAGCTTTTATTCCAGGTTTTTCCCCCAGGAGGTGTGTCCTGCTCCCACCAACGTGTCCACAGAGCTGGGGGACACCCCAGAGCCCCCCACACACCCCAAGATCCCCGTTTGGCACTGGGGGGAGCCGCTGGTGTGGGGGACACGGCCGGACACCAGCTGGGAGCTGGCTCTGGATCCCTCAGGATCACAGCACGGGATTGGGATCCCAGCCCCCTGCCCACGTCCCAAGGCACATCTGGAGGGGCTGAGGGTCCATCCTGGGGTCTGGGGGGCCTGGGACCCCCTGGGCTATCGGTGCCTGTGCTCCAGGAGAGCCTCAAAGTCCGGGGAGCAGACGAGCTTGTGCCTGACGTGGCCCAGCACCATCATCTCACCCGTGCGGTTGTCCCCGATGCCCACGGACACCAGCTCCTGTTCCAGGGGGCACAAACAGCCCTGAGGGACAGCAACCGCTGGGAGACCCCCAGAGGGGACCAGCAGGACCCCTCCCCACTGTCAGCAGGGCCAAGAGCCAGCACGACCCCCCAGTTGGGGTTATTTTGGGGTGAAACCCCCCAGATTGGGTGCCAGTGTCCCTTCCATACCTGTAGGAAGGAGCAGGGGGTGCCCATGGTCACGTCCAGGGTGACCTTGCCCAGCACCAGCTGCACTTTGCCCGACTTTCGGATGAGCAGCTTCCCCACCTGGCCCTCGGGGAGGTCGGCCAGGGTGCAGATGTTCTCTGCCTGCTTGGCCTCCTGCAAGGGCACAGCGGGACTGGGGTGAGCCCACGGGACTGGGATCATCCAATTGGGATCAGCCCTCAGGACTGGGATCAGCCCCTGGGATTGGAATCAGACCCTGGGAATGGGATTATCCCACTGGGACTGGGATCAGCCCTTGGGAATGGGATCAGCCCTTGGGAATAGGATAACCCCACTGGGACTGGGATCAGCCCTCAGGACTGGGATCAGCCCCCCTGGGACTGGGATCAGCCCTTGGGAATGGGATCAGCCCCTGGGACTGGGATAACTTCACAGGGACTGGGATCAGCCCTTGGGAATGGGATCAGCCCTCAGGACTGGGATCAGCCCCTGGGACTGGGATCAGCCCACTGGGAATGGGATAACCCCACTGGGACTGGGATCAGCCCTTGGGAATGGGATCAGCCCTCAGGACTGGGATCAGGCCCTGGGACTGGAATCAGCCCTTGGGAATGGGATAACCCCACTGGGACTGGGATCAGTCCCTGGGATTGGGATCAGCCCTCAGGACTGGGATCAGCCCTTGAGAATGGGATCAGCCCTTGGGAATGGGATCACAGCATGGGACTGGGATCATCTTGTGAAATTGGGATCACCCCACGGGATTGGGGGGGACAGCACCATGGGATAAGGGGACAGCAGAGGATTGGAGGAGAAAGGACACCACAGGATGGGGGGGACATCATGGGATAGCAGGGAGGTCACCGGGGGACTGGGGAAGATGACACCATGGGATGAGGGGGAGACATCATGGGATACAGTAGAAAGGCCACCACGGGATGGGAGGACAGTGACACCATGGAATGGAGGGACATCACAGGATGGGCTGGGAAGGACACAATGGGATGGGGGCACATCCTCATGGGCTTGGAGGAGACACCACAGAAGGGGAGAGGATGAGGAGGAGGGGACACCCCCACCGTGCCCTACCTGGCTCTTCTCCTGCTTCACCAGCAGCACCTGCCCGTCCTCGCTGTGCAGCTCAGCCTTGCTGGGTTTGGAGTCGTGGCTGGGGGGCTGCCCTGGCAGGGTGTCAGGGAGCTGCAGGAACAGCAGCTCCTCCTCCTGGGCCAGGCTCAGCCTCTGCAGCAGCTCTGCTGCTGACACATCCCGTGGGAACCCGGGGGGGCCCTTGGGCTGGGCTGGCTTGGGATCCTCCTCACAGGGCTCTTCCTTCACTGCAGAGGGGGCACGGGGAACAGGGGACACCCCCAGATTGTCCCTGCTGTGTGTCCTGCCCAGCCAAACCCAACCCAACCCAACCCAGCCCAGCCCAGCCCAGCCCAGCCCAGCCCAGGTTGTTGGTGATGATGAGGCAATTAAGAAGAATAGTAGGTAGGTGAAAAATATGTAATGTAGGGGTCTGAGGCCATGTATCACGTTGCAAATTGTAGGATAGATCACTATAGGAACAGTGCAATGGGGAAGGAGGTGAGGGAGTAGAAGTCTGTTTTTAGGCTGATGGGGATTTTGAAGTTTGTAATGAATTTTCACTCTCAGAAGGAGGTGAGGCTGTCTGCTCCAGAGTGGATGCGGATTTTTATTGGGATTAGGCTGATTAAGAAGGAGGTTTTGATTGTGTTTGTGATTGTGCTGGGGGTGTTCTTGAGGTTGTTGGATAGAAGAGGAAATAGGATGGGGGTGGAGAGGGTTACTGGGGTTAAGGGTATGAATGTGTTTAGGACTACTGAGAGGTCCATCACTTGGATTTGCACCAGGATGAGTGGCTCCTAAGAGCACTGGGTTACTATTATCCTTTGAAAGTCTCCTTCTACACTTTGAAAGTGAGGAGACTGAGGTTTTATACTCAGATACAAGAATTAGCAGTTCTTGCTGGTTTTACCTCTCCCAACCCAGCTCAACCCAACCCAACCCAACCCAACCCAACCCAACCCAACCCAACCCACCCAACCTGGCCCAGCCCAGCCCAGCCCAGCCCTGCCCCACCTTTCACTGCTGGTGGGTCCAGCTCCATCTTCTCCTCCTTGGCTGCAGGCAGCCATGGCTGAGTGTCCTCCTGCTCTGCCACCTCCTCCTTGAAGAGCCACCCCGAGTGTGCCAGGGGCAGCTGCACCGGCTTGTTCCGGATGTCGTTCTTCAGCCCCGGGTCATCCAGGAACTGTGGGGACAGCCAGGGGACATCAGCACTGCCCGGGGGCACAGGGGACACTCAGCACTGCCCAGGGGCACAGGGGACACTCAGGATCACTCCAGTGGCAGAGAGGACACTCAGCACTGCTCCGGTGACACAAGGGACACTCAACACCCCCGGGTGGCACAGGGGATACTCAGCACCCACCGGTGACACAAGGGACACTCAGCACCCCCTGGGGCACAGGGGACACTCAGCACCCCTGGGGCACAGGGGACACTCAGGATCACCCTGGTGATACAAAGGACACTCAGCATTGCCCCAGTGGCACAGAGGACACTCAGCACTGCCCTGGTAGCACAGGGGACACTCAGCACTGCCTGGGTGACACAGGGGACACTCAGCATCACCCCAGTGGCAGAGAGGACACTCAGCACTGCCCTGGTGGCACGGGGCACACTCAGCACTGCCCTGGTAGCACAGGGGACACTCAGCACCCCCCAGTGGCACGGGGGACACTCAGGATCACCCCAGTGGCACAGGGGACACTCAACCCCTGCCTGTGTGGCACAAGGGACACTCAGGACCACTGCAGGGACACAAGGGACACTCAGCATCACCCCAGTGGCACAGAGGACACTCAGCACCACTGCAGGGACACAAGGGACACTCAGCACCACTGCAGGGACACAAGGGACACTCAGCACCCCCGATGGCAACAAAGCCACCCCTTCCATGCCCACTGACATCGTCCTTCTGCAGCATCCTCAGGATCTGTTTGGTCTCCTCGTCCGTCTCCCTCTTCTCCTTCTTGATGTTGATGATGTGGGAAGGACCAAAGTCGGACACGTCCACGCTCCGGTCCCAGGAGCCTGCTGGGGACACAGGAGCAGCCCAGGGTCATCCCAAAGGTGGGAACCCCCCCAAAAACCCCCAGAGGGGAGCTCCCCTTACCTTTCTTCTTCATCATCTCAGCGGGGCCCTGCTCGAAGATGGAGTGGGACTGGATGACCTCGGGCCGGTGGCGGCCCCGGCCGTGCCCGTCCCGCTGCCGCTCCCGCTCCTTCTTCTCCTTCTTCACCGCCACATCCTCACGGGGCCTGGGGCAGAGGGGGCACAGCACCCCCAAATCAGCCCCGCAGCACCCCCAAATCAGCCCCACAGCACCCCCACATCAGCCCCGCAGCACCCCCACATCAGCCCCACATCAGCCCCACAGCACCCCCAAATCAGCCCCACATCATCCCCAAATCAGCCCCACAGCACCCCCATATCAGCCCCCACATCACCCTCATATCAGCCCCACAGCACCCCCACATCAGCCCCATATCAGCCCCACATCAGCCCCACAGCACCCCCAAATCAGCCCCACATCAGCCCCAAATCAGCCCCACAGCACCCCCATATCAGCACCACATCAGCCCCAAATCAGCCCACAGCACCCCCATATCAGCACCACATCAGCCCCACAGCACCCCCAAATCACCCCCACATCACCCCCAGTCCTGCCCCTGCCAGGACACAGGGCCTGGGGAAGAGATCTCTGTACATCACCCAGAGATATTGGTGTGGGTATTTGGGATATTGGTGTGCATATTTATATGGATATCTGAGAATTTCCATGATATTTGAGATATTTATATGGATATTTGGGATATTATATGGATATTCAGACATTTCCATGGATATTTGGCAAATTCATACGGATGCTGAGATATCTCCATGGATAGTTGGGATATTTATATAGATACCTGAGAACTTCCATGGGTATTCAGGCTATTTCCATGGATAACTGGGATATTTCCATGGATAACTGAGATATTTCCATGGGTATCTGGGATATTTATGTGAATATTTGGGATATTTCCATGGATATCTCAGACATTTCCATGGATAACTGGGATATTTCCATGGATATTTGAGATATTTATATGGATATTTGGGATATTTACATGCATATCTCAGACATTTCCATGGATATTTAGGATACTTGTATGAATTCTGGGATATTTATATGGATATTTGGGATATTTACATGGACATTTCGGATATTTCCATGGATATTGGCAAATTCATATGGATTGCTGAGATATCTCCATGGATAGTTGGGATATTTATAGAGCTATCTGAGAACTTCCATGGGTATTCAGGCTATTTCCATGGATATTTGGGATATTTCCATGGATATCTGGGATATTTATATGGATATTTGGGATATTTCCATGGATAACTGGGATATTTCATGGGTATCTGGGATATTTATGTGAATATTTGGATATTTATAAGGATATCTGGGAATTCCCATGGATATGTGGGATATTTCCATTGATATTTCAGACATTTCCATGGGTAACCTGGGATATGTCCATGGATATCTGAGATATTTATATGGATATTTAGTATAGTTATATGGACATTTGTGGTATTTCCATGGGCTTTTGGGATATTTATATGGATATTTGGGATGTCTCCATGGATATCTCAGACATTTCCATGGATAACTGGGATATTTCCATGGGAATCTGGGATATTTATGTGAATATTTGGCATATTTATATTGATATTTCCATGGAATCTGGGATATTTACGTGAATATTTGGGATATTTATATGGATATTTCCATAGTATCTGAGATATTTATATGAATATTTGGGATATTTCCATGGATAACTGGGATATTTCCATGGATAACTGGGATATTTCCATGGGAATCTGGGATATTTATGTGAATATTTGGGATATTTATATGGATATTTCCATGGGAATCTGGGATATTTATGTGAATATTTGGGATATTTCCATGGATAACTGGGATATTTCCATGGGTATCTGGGATATTTATGTGAATATTTGGGATATTTATATGGATATTTCCATGGTATCTGAGATATTTATGTGAATATTTGGGATATTTCCATGGATAACTGGGATATTTCCATGGGTATCTGGGATATTTATGTGAATATTTGGGATATTTATATGGATATTTCTATGGATAACTGGGATATTTCCATGGGTATCTGGGATATTTATGTGAATATTTGGGATATTTATATTGATATTTCCATGGGTATCTGGGATATTTATGTGAATATTTGGGATATTTATATTGATATTTCCATGGGATTTTGGGATATTTATGTGAATATTTGGGATATTTCCATGAATAACTGGGATATTTCCATGGGTATCTGGGATATTTACGTGAATATTCGGGATATTTATATGGATATTTCCATGGTACCTGAGACATTTATATGAATGTTTGGATATCTGAGAATTCCCATGGATATTTTGGATATTTCCATGGATCAATGGGATCCCCTCTCACTCCTCCCTTCTCCAGACCGACCAGCCCCACCTCAGAGATGCTCCAGACCCCAAACCAGCCCTGTGCCCCCCATGTCACCCAGATCCACCACTCACTCCTCCTTGATCTTCCTGCTGATGATGTTGGGGGTGAAAGTTTTCTGTGGGGGAAAAACAGAGAGAAAAAATCATCCCCAACCCCCCCAGGCTGTCACAGCCACCCCAGAGCCACTGTGGGGACACGGGGTGTGAGATGTGAAATGTGTCACCACATTTCTCCTCACACAGAAAAGCAAGGCACAGTTCTTTCCAGGAATATTTCTGGGTTTCACATTCCCTGAACCTCAGGGAAAGGAAAAACAATTCTTATCTCATTTGCTGTGCAAAAATAAAATGCAATATAAAAAGTGTTTACTCAAAGTGATGGGGTTTTATTTCCTTGGCCTATCAGGGCCAGGTGTGTGATGTGAGGTGGGACTGTGAGCTAAAAGTCACGAGATTCTGTGCAGTGTGTGCAGAGTTCAATACTTAGCAAATCCAGAATATAATATAATATAATATAATATAATATAATATAATATAATGTAATATAATAGTATGGTATAGTATAGCATTGTATAGTATAGTATAGTATATAATAGTATATAATAGTATAGTATAGTATATAATAGTATATAGTAGAATATAATATAATATAATAGTATATAATACTATATAATACTATATAATACTATATTATATAATAGCATATAATATAGAATATTATGGTACAGTATAGTATATTGTGTCATGGAATATTATAGTATATATTATTTATGCATATAATATAGTTATATATTACATAATATATAATATTAGAGTATAAATAATATAATACACTATAAAATAATATACTATAATATAATTAATATAACATAACATAATATAAAGCATAATACAACATAATATAATAATATACTATAATATAATTTAATATAATACAATAATAGAATACAAATAATAAATATAGTATGATATACTATGATATAGTATAATGTAAAATCAAATATAATGTATTATAGTAATAATAAATATAGCATGATATAATGTAATATAATATAATGTAATATAATGTAATGTAATGTAATATAATGTAATGTAATATAATATAATGTAATATAATATAATATAATATAATATAACATTATATTTATATGACATTATATTTATATTACATTATACTATATTATACTATATTAATTATATCATATATCATATCATATATTCTATTAATACTATTCATATAATTAAACAATAAAATTAATTAAATAATGAAATAACAAAATTAATTAACTTATTAATTAAATAATAAAATTAATATAATTAAATTAATATAATTAAATTTTTTAGCCTTCGAATATCAATTATGTTCTCCTCCTCATCTCTCCTGCCCCGGGGGTCACCCGATTGGACCCTGGGTGCCCCCAATTTGGGGAGGGGGTCTCTCTCACCTTTTTGACGCCGCCCAGGGTGAGGTCCCGGGAGCGGATGGAGGGCAGGCGGCCCGGGCTGAGGGGGGGCGCGGGGGGGGCGCCTGCCCAGCACCCCCCGGGGCCCCCCCGGCCGGAGGCTGCCCGGGGAGCCCGAGCTGCCAGAGCCCCCCTCGGCCATGCTGCGGGCAGGGGGCACGCTCAGGGGGAGGTGGACCCCCACACTGCGCCTGGAAATACACACACCCCAGTGAGGAACCCCTGAACCCCCAAACTGCACCTGGAAATACACACACCTCAATAATGAACCCCCAACTGCGCCTGGAAATACACACACCCCAATAATGAACCCCTGAACCCCCAAACTGCGCCTGGAAATACACCCATCCAATAACGAACCCCCTGAACCCCCAAACAGCTCAGAAATACACCCGCCCCAATGATGAACCCCCAAACTGCGCCTGGAAATACACACACCCCAATGATGAACACCCAAACTGTGCCTGGAAATACACACACCTAAATAATGAACCCTGCACCCCCAAACTGCGCCTGGAAATACACCCACCCCAGTAATGAACACCCTGGACCCCCAAACTGCGCCTGGAAATACACACACCCAAGTGATGAACCCCCAAACAGCTCAGAAATACACACACCCTAATAATGAACCCTGAACCCCCAAACTGCGCCTGGAAATACACCCATGCCAATAATGAACCCCTGCACCCCCAAACTGCGCCTGGAAATACACACACCCCAGTAATGAACACCTTGGACCCCCAAACAGAGCTCAGAAATACACCCACCCCAATAATGAACGCCTGAACCCCCAAACTGCGCCTGGAAATACACCCACCCTAATAATGAACACCCAAACTGGGCTCAGAACTACACCCATCTCAGTAATGAACCCCATGCACCCCCAAAAAGGGCTCAGAACTGCGCCCACCCCAAAAATGAACCCCAAAACAGGATTCAGTCCTACACCCACCCCAGTAATGACCCCCCTTGCACCCCCAAACAAGATCCCCGTGACCCAGGGGGGTTCTGTTCCCCCTGCACCCCCCAGAACCCCCTCGTTCCCCCCTCCCCAGGTTTCCCAGCTCCCCTCCACCCCCAACTTGTCCCCCCTTCCCCAGCTTTCCCAGCCCCCCATACACCCCAAGCAGGATCCCCTTGTGCCCCCTTTCCCAGCCCCCCCCACACCCCAAACAGGACCCCTTTGTTCCCCCTCCCCAGGGATCTCAGCCCCCTCCTCACGGGCCTCACCCCCTCAGGACCCCCCGGCGCCCCCTCCCCAGGGATCTCACCCCCCTCCTCCCCTTCTCACCCCTCTCCCCAGCATTCCCACCCCTCATACACCCCCAAACAGGGTCCGCTCTCCCCCCGCTCCCCATGGGTCTCACCCCTCTCCTCGCACCCCTCAGGACGCCCCGGACCCCCCCAAATTCCGCCCCCCTCCCCCGCCACGCCGCCCCTCACCCTGCCCGGGCAGCCACGGGCTCGCCGCCCTCACTGCGCATGCGTCATCCGCGGCGCGCCCTTCCTGGCGAGACGCTGCCGCCGCCATCTTTGCTGAGGGCACGGCGGGCTTGGCAATGAGCCGCCATCTTTGTGGTTGGCATTGCCCAACCCGATGTGAGGGCGGTGGCGCCATCTTTGTGACGGGCAGTGCCCGGCTCTCCGGACCGGGCACCGGGGGCAGCGCTGGGGGGGACATTTTTGGGGGGGTCACTCTTTCTGTATTTAACACCCTCACGGGATTCCTGCAGTGCGACCACCCCCCTCAGGGTCCTCTGCAGCCCCACAGCCAGCCGGCACCCACACAGAGGGGGTTCATGCGTGGGCACCCCCTCGCAGAAATTTGGGGAGCAATGAGATTTTTGGGGTGCTCTCCCACCCGCCCACCCGAGAAAAGCTTTGTCCCTCCAAGAAGAGTGTTTATCACGTGCAAAACAAAAAGTCCGTCTGTCCATCTGCCCCCCTTGGGCTCTGCACCCCCATTCCGCGGGGGTCCTGTGTGGGTACCAGCATTCCCACGCACCTCCTCCATCCTCCATCCCGTTTTTGGGGCCGGGGGGGAATTGTCCCGGTTGTGCCGTTTGCAGGACAATGGGGACACCCCCTCCCGGCCCCAAAAATGGGGGGAACAGTGAGAACCTGCCCACCATCCACCCCCAATCTGCACCCACATCCCACTCTGCCTCCATCACCTGACGCCGCACGCATCCCTCCATGCCATTGGCAGAACCGGGAGGTTTTTCCTTCCTCCCCCTTCTCTCCCAGCTCCTTGGATATCTATTTTTCCCCCTTTTTTTTTTTTTTTTTTTTTTTTTTTCCTCTCTCTCCTCTCCCTCCTCTGGAGGGTGTTTGCTATTTCCGAGCTGGCTGGGAGGATCCCATTCGCATCAGCCGCAGGCAGCGACGCGGCATCGCCGGGTACCACCTCGCTCCCTCCGGCATCCTCCGTCCTTCCCGCTTGGATCAGCCCCACCGGGGCTCCGTGTCCTGCCCTGCCGCTGCACCGGCACCCCCGCGGCTCCCGGCAGCCCCCCGGCACGGCCAGGTAAGGGCCTCACCGGCACGGCCACACCGGAGCGCCCACCGAGCCCCGGCGGCGTTGGGGCTCCGTGCCCACGGCACGGCCGGGGGATGCTCGGAGGGCAGGGGGACACGGCGGGCACGGCGTCTCTCAGGGGACACGGTGACACGACGCAGCCGGCACAACCCCGGTGCGGAATTCCTGCGCCACCGCCGGGCACGGCGACGGACGGGGCAGCGAGGTGGCACCGTGTCCCCGGAGCGGTGACCTTCGCAAGGGCTCTGCCGGGGGGTGACAGCGGATTTGGGGAGCAGCTGGGGGGGACACGTGGCCGTGGGTGGCCGTGGGTGCCGAGTGACGGGGACGCGCGCGGCGTGGGTGGCCGTGGGCACACGGAGGGGGCGGTGGCACCTTGGCACCCAAGGTTTGGGGGGCACCCTCGCCTGGAGCCCCCCGTTCCTGTGGCACGGCTGTGACTCCTTGTCCCCCCTCCTCGGGCATCGCCCACCCCCAAATCGCCTTCCTAGGGGGGCGCGGGGAAACTGAGGCACGGGCCGGGGCAAAGGCGGATCCAGCTTTTCCAGTGCCTGCGTCCAACCCTCCCCTCTCCCAGCAACTCCCTCGGCTCTCCCCTTGTTTTTCTTTCCCCACCCGGTGTTGAGCAAACCCCGAAACGCCCGCTGGCGTCGCGCCGGGGCCCCGCGGCACCCGGGGGAGCGGCCGGGGCCCCCGCACCCGACCGGGCTTGTTGGCGGCGTCCCGCTGCCTGCTGCTGCCTGCGCTGCCTATTCCTGGCTCCCGGCCGCCCTTCCACCCCGCTGCCATCTGCTCCGCCGCGGGCAGCCTTGGCAGCGCCGGCGTGGGCAGCCAGAGGGGGCTCGGCACCCCCAGAACCCCGCGCTGTGCCCCCCCCTCTCCGCAGGAGCTCAGCCCCTCCGGCCATGGAGCTGCTGTCCACCCCCAAAAACATCGAGATCAACAACATCACCTGCGATTCCTTCCGCATCTCCTGGGCCATGGAGAAGGGGGACCTGGAGAGGGTCACCCACTACTTCATCGACCTCAACAAGAAGGAGAACAAGAATTCCAACAAGTTCAAGCACCGGGTGAGCCGGGGGAGGACGCGGGACCCCCTGCCCGGGGAGAGAAGACGGGCTCGGCAGGGAGGAACGGGCTCTTAGCCCTCTCTAGCGCTGAATTTGGGTCATTCCCGTCACGGGACACGCTGGCGCAGGGGACCGGGACGGGGATCGGGGGGTGGCGGACCCCGCTGAGCCCCCGCGGGGGAGCTGAGCTGCTCCTGCTCCCCCTCCCCGCGCTGCGAGTCACTAATTCGGGCCGTTTTTAGCAGCGCCGTTGCCACGGTGATGCTATTTAATGTTTAACATTATTTTTTTTTCCTCTCTCTCCTCCCCAATAATAAGGGGTGGAGGGGGGGGGTGGGATTTTTTTTTTCCCCCTCCATCTCCCTACTTCAGCATCCGCCGTTGCCACAGAAACGGCTCTGCAGTGCGGAGCTGCTCCGTGGCCTCTTGACACCGCGAGATGCCACCGGCAGCGGGGGGACCCCGAAACCACCTCGGGGACTCTGCGTCCCCACGGCAGCGTTTGGGGACACGTTTGGGGCAGCGCTGTGGGCACAGAGCAGGGGGAGCGGCCCGTGGATATTTTGGGGGGGGTCTCCGTGGATATTTCGGGGTGCGCGGTACCCGGGGGCTGCGGGGGGGATGCTGTCCCGCCTGACCCTCGCCGCTCGGCGCAGGATGTCCCCACCAAGCTGGTGGCCAAGGCGGTGCCGCTGCCCATGACGGTGCGGGGCCACTGGTTCCTGAGCCCCCGCACCGAGTACAGCGTGGCCGTGCAGACGGCGGTCAAGCAGAGCGACGGCGAGTACCTGGTGTCCGGCTGGAGCGAGACCGTGGAGTTCTGCACCGGGGGTGAGCGGGGACCGTGGGGGCGTCCCCGGGAGGCCGCAGGGAGGACGGGGGCGATGCCAGCAGCCCGGAGCTGGGGGGAGGACGGGGGCGATGCTGGGAGCCAGGAGGGAGGACGGGATTGATGCTCCTGGGATCGGGAGCTGGGCCGGGGTTGGGGACGGTGCCTGGAGCTGGGAGGAGGATGGAAGCGGTGCTGGGAGCCGGGAGGATGAGGAGGAAGGGGCAAAATCCAGGACTGGGAGCCAGGAGGGAGGATGGGGTTGATGCCTGGAGCTGGGAGATGGAAAGGGGGAAGAGGGCAATGCCTGGAGCTGAGAGGGAAGATGGAGATGGTGCCTGGAGCTGGGAGCAGGGAGGGAAAACAGGGGTCAGTGCTGGGAGCCAGGAGGGAGGACGGGATTGATGCTCCTGGAAGCGGGAGCTGGGCCGGGAATGGGGACGGTGGGGAAGGAGGATGGAGTTGATGCCTGGAGCTGGGAGGAGGATGGAGGCGGTGCTGGGAGCCGCGAGGATGAGGAGGACAGGGGCAAAATCCAGGACTGGGAGCCAGGAGGGATGATGGGGTTGATGGAAGGGGGAAGAGGGCAATGCCTGGAGCCGAGGGGGAGGATGGAGATGGTGCCTGGAGCTGGGAGCAGGGAGGGAAAACAGGGGCGATCCCAAGAGCAGGGAGGGGGAACAGGGGTCAGTGCCGGGAGCAGGGAGGGAGAACGGGAGCGATCCCAGGAGCATGGAGGGAGAATAGGGGCGACCCCAGGAACTGGGAGAGAAAAGGGGGAAGAGGGCAATGCCTGGAGCTGAGAGGGAAGACGGGGACGATGCCTGGAACAGGGAGCAGGGAGGGAAAGCAGGGGAGATTCCAGGAGCAGGGAGGGAGAACAGGGGAGAACCCAAGAGCTGGGGAGGGAAAGGGGGTCAGTGCTGGGAGCAAGGAGGGAGAACAGGGGCGATGGCAGGAGCTGGGAGGGAGGACAGGGGCGATCCCAGGAGTTGGGAAGGAGAACAGAGGCGATTTCAGGAGCTGGGAGCAAAGAGAGGTCAGTGCTGGGAGCCACGGGGGAGATGGAGGGTGATGTCGGTAGCCACGAGCCGGGAGAGAGGATGGGGGAAACGCTGGGAGCTGGGAGCCCGGAGGAGGACGGGGGCGATACCGGGAGCTGGCACAAGCCGGGCCGGTTGGAGCGGCAGCTGATGAGTGGGAGGCAGGAGGTGCGGGGAGCTGCGGGCAGGGATGGGCTGCTGCAGGGGGATGGAGACGCCCTGATGTCCCCGCGCCTGTCCCCAGACTACGCCAAGGAGCACCTAGCCCAGCTGCAGGAGAAAGCGGAGCTGATCGCCGGCCGCATGCTGCGCTTCTCCGTCTTCTACCGCAACCAGCACAAGGAGTATTTCCAGCACGTCAGGTACCCCCAGCCCCAGTGCCCACGCTCCCCGCCCGCAGAGCGCATTCCCTGACCCTGCCTGTGCCTGTCTGTGTGTCTCTCCTCCTCCTCCTCCTCCTCCTCCTCGTCCTCGTGGCAGGATGCACTGCGGGAACGTGATGAAGCCGTCGCTGAAGGACAACAGCGGGAGCCACGGCTCGCCCACCAGCGGGATGCTGCACGGCATCTTCTTCAGCTGCAACACCGAGTTCAACACCGGGCAGCCCCCGCAGGACTCGCCCTACGGCCGGTACCGCTTCCAAATCCCGGCGCAGCGCCTCTTCAACCCCAACACCAACCTCTACTTCGCGGACTTCTACTGCATGTACACCGCCTACCACTACGTCGTGCTGGTCCTGGCGCCCAAGGGCTCCTCGGGGGATCTCTTCTGCCGGGAGCGCCTTCCCCAGCTGGACATTTCCTCCAACAAGTTCCTGACGTGCTGCGTGGAGGAGGGCGAGCTGGTGTACCGCCACGCCCAGGACAGCATCCTGGAGGTCATTTACACGGAGCCGGTGGACCTGAGCCTCGGCGTGCTCGGGGAGATCAGCGGCCACCAGCTCATGAGCCTCTCCACCGCCAACGCCAAAAAGGACCCCAGCTGCAAGACGTGCAACATCAGCGTGGGCCGTTAGGCGGCCCAGGCGGGCAGGGCCGGGCAGGGCGACGGGCGCTGCCCGCGGGGGCTTCTCCCACGGACGCCGGTGGGTGGAGGACACGGGTGGGCTCGGGGGAGCCGGGACGCTGCTTCGGCGAGGAGGCAGAGCCCGCGCCGCTGCGCGCCCCGAGGGAGGAAGCCTTCATCTCCTGGACTGGCCGAGCAGCAGCGTCCTCGCTGGCGTGAGCCCCGCGCTCTGCCCCGCTCCGGGACCCCCTTCCC